TTTACATCAAGAAAAGCTTTTCAAATGCAAAATTTATCAAAATAGATATTGAAGTAGACATCTTGGGCTTTCTATAAAGTACAAGATCATCATAATGATATAAAAATTGAGCATGTTATGGCTTTCCCAAGTTGGGAAAATTTTAGAAATTTCAAGAATGGTGCATTGAGCATATTTAAATTTTTGGGTCAATGAACTAACTTTTTAATGTTCAAATATCTTCCTAAGGTCATAGAGGACCTCTAATATTATTTTTGCATGGCCTTGCATTTTCTACCTATTTTTTACATATTTATTTTAATTTATTTCAAATAAATATAAAATAAATGGTACAAAATATTTGGAAATCAGCTTAGGCATGTGGGCTAGTGTTTTGGGTCAGTCTTGAGGCCCATTTTTCGTGCAAACCTGACCAGATTCATTGAACATGAAAAAATGGCATGAAATCTCAAGTTTGGTAATTTTACAAATTTGTGATAATGGCTTTAAACCATGGATTTATGGGCTTGATTCTTTCCTCCTTATCTTGTCCCCTCCTTCTATGATATAAGTACATCACTTTGACAAGCCAAACACACGCATATACACTTTACAAGAGTGCTACCAAGATTGCAAAGAATTTCCCAAAATCGTGAAAACTCAAAATCACACCTCCAGCCCATTTCCATCCTAATAAACCTCTCATTTCAATCCCTGAGATCATCCAAGCCGTTTTCCAGACGTGCAACACTCTAAAACCTTAGATCTACGCATCACCGGACTTGGGCTAAATTTGAATTCAAAACCTTTCATACACGTAATATAAATCAATTCATTTCATACATTCATGTTATTATAGTTATTTGTGGATGTTCTAATGTGCTTCATGTGTTTGAAAAGGCCCTAATCATGAATCACCATTATCAACGGTTTTTAAACAGGGATCTTCGAATCTCCTGATACAGGAACTTTCAGATCAAATAAAGGCCACCATTGAATTCCTTGGGAAATTTTAAGGGGGGTGGAATGTTTTAGTTGCTTTGAAATTGCGTATTTTGCAGGTTTTGCTTTTTGCCTCGTTGAAGAAGATCATTGTGACCACCATGGCTGGTGGTTTGACTAGTTACAGGCGGTGGTCAGAAATGGCGTGGCACTATCCCTTCATTTCATTGGTTCAATCAAACGTTCACTTCCTCTCTCCATTTCTGATTGGCTTGTTCAAATCTCAGGAACCCACTTGGAGCACGCGTAATGTTTGCTGATTAAGATTTGACTTTGTTTTTTAATATATTATTATTGTTTGATTTATAATAACGATTGAATTGGCAACTCAACTGGTAAAGTGCATTGGTATGAAAAGGGAGGACCTGGGTTCAAGTCCCAGGTCCAACATCTTGATTTTTGACAAAGTTCTCTTGTAGATTCCATGCATATCAGTGCCAGACGTGCACCGTACGACATCAAATCACCATCACCTGATTAAGATCCAGCGTATCCAAGCGTAGGATTCACCATGTGCCCTAGTTTGTTTCCCCCACCAGATTGAACGCAGCCCCTGGGCTCTTGCTAATGGGCCCATAGTTTTTTATTAACAACACCCCCATTTTGTTTTTGATGACCAGGCCCATGTTTTGTTTATTTTGTCACTTTTTTTATTTTTTTAATTTTGTTTATTATTTTCAAAAGTCATTTTTTAACAAGTCATAAAAAAAAATAGATTTAGGTCCTTTTTAAAATTATTAATTAATTAATTAATTATTTTAATGTTATTTTATCAATTTAAAATCAAATTAGACTTAGTTTCACTTTAATTTAAATTATTTTCCTAATAACAAATTACAAAAATATTAGAATTAGGATTCATTTCATTCAACTTTTATTTTCTTAATTAAAAATAAAATTTAGAATTAATTATTCTCTTAGCAAAACCAAGAAATAATTTTTTTGTTGCTTATTTTTATTTATTGGGTTTTTAGACGTTTCTTTATTTTGCGCGCTTATATTATTATGTATCTGCCTATGGTTTGTAATTTTATCGCGTGCATTTTATTTCCCGATTATGTATCTGCCTATGCATTGTAATAGTTTAGGATTTAAATTCTGGCACTTTTAATTTCCGCATTTTACATTATAGTCAGATATAACTGTAATTGTCCCGAAGCCTTGTAATAGTTGTAGGACTTTATTTCTCACTTTATATGCCTATATATGAACTGTTAGTAAAATGAGGCGTGCATGACAAGATTAAATGAATTAACCAGTAGGTCACTAACTTCAAGATAAATATCTGAAAAAAGCACACTGTTGCACACTTGCACCCTTAGGGTACTCTTCACTTGGTTGTCCTTGCAAATGGCCATGTCCCTCGAACGTAGGAATGTCTTAGCAATGACCCTCAGTTTAAAAGTCATCATAAAAGATCATATTCCCTAAATGTCCCTCGAGTTGCCTACGAAAAATGATCTTGTCCCTCGATGTTGCCTATATGATGACAGTCCCTTCGAAATGCTAAATTATCCTTACATCTTTCCTTCAATGAAAATAACGTCCCTTTCGATAGTCCCTCAACATCCAACCATAGGGCTACCTACTCACTAATAGTAGGATAACACTATCTAAAGGGTAGGAGGAAAAGAACATCCTTTTTTGAGTAGGTAGGCAGTTCTCAAGTACTTGCTCAAACCTAATTTTTTACACTTACACACTTTCAAATTTCTTTTCAAAAATTCTTTATCACACTCTTGAGGACTGATACAAGAGCTATTATAAAGCAAACATAAATATTTCAAAACACACAAACACAAACAGTTTTAAAAAATGAGCAAGTACCTAAGAGCCCGTGGAAAACCAAAGATGGAAAGGGTGCTAATACCTTCCCTTTCCATAATCTACCCTCCTTACTCAGAAAGTCTCGAAAAAGGTCTTTTTCTGTTCTTTTCACCATTTCCTTTGTTGGATAAAAGAAAAGTCGGTGGGGACTCTTTCTTACCGCGACATTTGCAAACAAAAAATGCAAAACCAGTATATAACAGTCAGTTCTGCCACCGTATCACAGTTACCCTTACACTTTATGGTAAAATGTCATTGATAGTCACTGATAGAATTTGTTGCATCAAGACTTGACAATCATGAGATTTTAAGCTAACTAATTTGAGATATTTAATTGACACAAGTTTCTTCGAATTTGACGAGTACCCTTGAGGAACTTTGATACCCTAAAAACAATTGCAATTTTTTTCTTCTTTTTGAGATAAAGTGTGACACGCTGGGGGAAAATATGATCTATTTCATATTTCTTTTGGGGTCTTGTTGTATACCCATCACCATCATATCTAGACGAGAATTCTTACTACTGCTTATTTTGCCTTTAATATTGAGAAGTCTTTCATTCAAACTATCACATACATTTTTTCCACATGTATCACATCAAGATAATGATTTACATAAAGGCTAGACCAATATGGAAGTTTAAAGAACAACGACCTCTTTTTCCAAATATTTTCTCCATGGGACTTTTTTGTTTCTTTCTAAAGACAAAATTAAACTCCATCCATGGTTAATGGCTTTAGAGCAATATCAAACTCCTTCTCTCCATTAAAAGCGTTCCATAATCTACAATATGGATAATTGGGTCTAAGAAATTTACGCTTTCCAAGGTTAATAATATTTATTCCATTTCGTAGTTGGTGGGAGCATGTTTAATTGAAATTCAGGACCTTGCAAAATAGATGTCGTATACAATGTCAGAATACCATGTCGTAACCGATAAAAAATACGATAGTCGCCACCACTACTTTTTGTCCTAGGGACGCGAAAGGAATAGAAAAACCCTAATTTTTAGAGATTTTTAAGTTCACGAGTTGGTTAGATAAAGGGAAGGTGTTAGGCTCACCTTACTTCCCTTGTACTCAAGGGGACCCTCTTTAGGTTTAGGACTTATCAGGAATTTTCTACTTAAGTTATGTTATTACGTTATGAAAGGAAAAGATTTAGTTTTTTAGTTGGGGAATCGCCTTGATTTTAACCGCGTGCCTACGTATCCTCTTGTGAAGAAATCAGAGTCCATTTCTTACTTCGTATGTGTTTGGTTAGTTGTTTATAGGATTACATATAATTGCTTTCGAATGATCCTTTGAAATTCGTATGGGTTTGAAAATTGAGTAATCATAGACTTAGTTCGAAGTTTAATTTGAAAGCAATTTGACAATTCTTTTATAGAAAATAATCTTAAATTTTTGTTAAGTTAGTGAAAATAATAATTTGATGTGTTAGCTATTTTAATGTTTGATTTGAATTTTAAAAAATAAAAGTGAAAGTAAATATTTGAATAAAAATAAAATATATATTTGCAGTTAGTAAATTTTTTTAGAAACATAATCAAATAAATAATAAAAAAGGGTTAGTAGTTTTAGAAAATATTTAGAATTAGTAATAATAGTAATTATTAATAATGGAAGAAAAAAGTTTATTAGTTTTTCTAAAGAAGATATACAATATAATTATATAAATTAAATGTATATTTAGAAGAAATATTTTGTTATTTAATAAATATAAATTATAAACTAAGTTAGGAAAAATAAATAAATAAAAATTAATAAACCAAAATAATTTTTTTTAAGTAAATAAAATAGGGGGGGGGGGTGCATTTTGTTTAAGCTAAGTAAACAAGGGTTTTTAATTAGCATTGGGCTAAGCCCAAAACATTATTTGAGCCAAAAGCGCAGGGGGTGTGGTTTTAGTTGAGGTAGTAATTCTATAAGTGCAAATAATATTGGGCATGACCCATGTATTTGTTTTGAGTCTGTTTGGACAAGTTCTGGGGATCCTATGCATGTATGGTGTGCCAACGTGATCTTGTGCATTTGATTTTAATCAGAAGGTCATCAGAAGTTAATTATGGGACACTGATCAAAAGTATGATGAGCGGAGGGCCAGCAAGAATTGTTGATTAAGGTGCAGGGTGGGAAAGCACGTATGAAGACCAATCAATCGTCTCCAAATCCCATGGTTAGCAATTGACCATGTGGTGTATATCAGATGAGTGTAAGAGAGAGTATTTAAATAAAATGTCTTCACAAGTTTTCATTTTTTTCATTTCATTCCTCTCTCTTCATCAGAACTCCCTCTCTCTCACACTAAAATGCTCCCACCTCTCTCTATATTTCAGGCGATCGGAAATTGTTACCACCAGCCAAAAATCGCTTCTACCAGTGGCTCCATTTAACACCACCAAGTAAACCACCACCAAACCCAATTCCCGATTGAACTTAAATCGAAGAACACAAACATTCAACCAAAACCCCAGATCCCCTTCATAACCCTAGGTGATAACCACCATGGGCGGCCGCCGTTGAAGATGAATGTTCGTCGGGAACATCATCTTCTTCCAAGAACACTAACAAGATATAACCTAACCCAGAAACGATGAAGGCAATGAACCCTAGCCCTAATTGATATGAACCCTAACCTTAAGTTAGAACCCTAATCCATAATTTTCCAGAAATTTAACAAAATCAAAACAATCAGAGCAAAATCCTAAGCTAAGTTTTTAGGTTTACCTCTCATGTAGTGACTATCATCGTATAAATTCCCCCTCTAATCTTTTTCTCTTACCCTGATTCGCAGGTACTGAAGGTGAGAGATTCACAACAAGGAACAAGGGCTCCTGATCTCCAACTTCTTCTTCAACTTTTTCTTTCAATTTCTCCTTTTCACGTCTGTTTAGGTCTAGGGTTTTTATAGTTTTTTTACGATAGATTAAATTAGGAAATTATTTAAGTTAATTTGTTGTTACAATTCAACAGAGTTCTGATTGAATCTGTAATTGATTTATTTGTATTTTAGGATTAGATTTGAATTAGAAATAGAATTAGGTTTTGTAATTGTGATGTATCTGATCCGATTATGTATACAAATATGTATTCAATCAATAAAATGATTTTCAATCTTGGATTCTGTCCATATTTGATTCATGGATTCTCGGCTTTCTTGTAAACTTAGGGATGAAGAAGACATTGGGCGTTGCTGATGAACTTAGGGTTGAGAAACCCAAGTTGACCTTTGGTCAACTCCTCTTAATAATATAAATATAAATAAAAAATAAAATAAAAAGTCCAGAAATGTTGATCCGGGGTCAACTTATCATTCCAAACAATAATAATATAAAAACATGAGTAATAGAATAAATATTATAAAAATGCAAAAATAACAACTAATGGAGGTGTTGACTTTGGTAAACCAAAAAAAATGAATGACGGTAAAAATGATTTAATATTAAAAGTAAATTTTTATTTATTTATTTGTAAAATATTTTACCAAAAAAATTAATGGGATATTAGATAATTTAGATGATGAGGCCAAGAAGACTAATAATAAAAATGCTTATATATTTATTGCAAAAAAACTATAAACAAGATAATAAAAGTTTTTTTATAAGAAAAAAAACTTTAAAATAATTTAATAAAACATGATTTCTTTTATTTACACTAAAAATGAATTACTATATTTATAGAGCTAAAAATCTAGTCAAATAGAAATAAGATACAAGTATATATTCTTATAGTTAGTTTAAATATTGGAAATAATTAGTATAAATAACCTAAGGAAAGATCAAATAAAATTTGACTGTAACATTAGGATGGAAAAATTTGGGGTATGACGTCTACATCTATTAAATTACTTTTCGAGTGAAGGGTGTAAGAACATGAAGTTCTTGCACATTCGAATCAGAGGATTATTAAATAATGGAAGACCCCAAATTTTGACTAAAAACTTTTGAAAGATAAATTATACAATAAACCAAAAAGTAAAAAGGGCAAGGATGACGCAGTTAACTCATCAATGTCAAGAGCGTGGATTGACATATCTATTTTTTCCAAGGGACTAAATCAATAGATATGAAAAGGGACGTTATCGCAAATTCCACATTCTTACCACAACCTAGTGGATAAGTAACGCATGTGCTAACTCCATTTATTCCAAGGGACTAAACCAATGGAGTTGAAAAGGATTTGAGAATAAACTTACTAAAGCTTCGAGACTAATATAGTAAGATGAAATGCAGATTTGAAATATTTATCACAACCTAGGGGCTAAATGACGAGGTATCAATCTTATTTATACCAAGGGACTAATCCAATAAGATTGAAAATTCAAGAAAAAACTTATCATTATGCAGGGACCCATATAAATAGATATGTCTGATTTGTATATATACCACTACCTAGGGGGTAGATAATGTGGGTATCAACTCTATTTATGTCAAAGGACTAAACCAACAGAGATGAAATAATGTCTGAAAACAAACTAGCTAAAGCTTCAGAACTAACATAACTAGTTGTATTGTAGACTTGCATATTTATCACAACCTAGAGGATAAATAGTGTGGGATTGAAATTTTAAATTTAAATTTGATAGTTTGGAAATTTCATAACTAGGCTATTGATATGAATCATAGATATGCCGCCCAGTGTAAATTTGTTTCGCTAAACCTCTAAATGTTGTGTCTGTTCTCAACCGAGGTATTCATTGTAATAGTGTAAAAAATGCTTAGATTTGAATTGGTGATTCGCGTAGGTTACTTAGCTTAGCTGGTAAAATAATCCTAGAGGTTTCTTGCAGTATTCCTGGGCCTTTGTAATTTGAAATGCAATGTATGATTGATATGTATATGTATGATGCCTAATGATAATGTTATTGACATGTATTTCGTATGTAAATGCACAAAGTATTATGAATTTTTTGATAAACTCGCTCCTTTAGATCATCAGGTATGTTGTTTTTGTTGCAGTATCTCTAAGTTGATTTGTATTTTGATATGTTGTTGTGAACAATGTCAGTGTGATGTTGATGATTGTACTTCAGGAGTAAACGTAAATCTCTTTTTGACATTTTTCTAACCAAAATGCTTTTTAATGCTCGTAAAGGCTTTTTAATTTGTGATGTCCCCAAAGTAGTTTCAACGCAGTGTTTATAAGAAATAATCATTGTATTTTGAAAACAAGTCGGAAAAAGAAAAACACAATTGAAAAGATTTGAAAAATAAATAATTTTATTAATGAAAACGCCTTTAAATAGGCAAGAATACAAGATGCAATTCCTAAAAAGAGGTAATTACAAATAGATAAGAATAAAATTGAAAATGGAAATAAAAAATTTTATTCGTGTTGTACCCCAAAATTTTCCCTCCCATATTTCTCAAAACATTTCAAGAAAGATCCTCAAGTTACTCAAGGAAGTCCAAGAGTTGACTAGACAAGCTCCCTATTAAGGCAGTCTACCTCAAATTAGGGTTTCGTGTTGCATCAAGATACTTGAGTTCAAGGGATCCCAAATTCTCACCATTGTCCTAATATGTTATCAAGATCATCCATGTCAAGTTTCAAGCCTTGCAGAGGAAGTTTGCTCAGTCAATTGCTCAAAAGCCTAAAAATCGACTGTGCTAGGGCAAAAGTCAACTGTGGCCCACATACAGTCAAACTTCAAGATTTTTGGTCAACATCCTCATTTTAAGTATATTTCATCATTTGATCAAGGGTTGATCATGATTCATCAAGGATTGCTCACAATTCATCAAGAACCAAAAGTTGCTAAATTAGGGTTTTGTAGGAAAAGTCAACTCAACTTTGACCAAGCATAACTTTCTCATACTTTATGAGAAATGACCCATCCAAAGCTCATTTTTAAGAGGATGAAATTATCTACAATCCATCTTCAGCTCCAAAGTTTAAAATATGCCCTCACAAGAAGTTATGAATTTGGACATTATAGGTCATTTTGAAAAGTCAACAAAAACACCTTTTTTTGTCAAAGCTTCATACATGAGCATGGAATACAAAATTGAGATTAGACCAAAAGGGTTTCTTAGAGGACATCTCAAGCTTTCTAAAAAGTCCAAGAACACCTTCAAAGAAACATAATTGAGGAAGTTATGCATTGGTGAAGTTGACCTTTTTTGCAAAATTGCCAAAAGTCAACTATGCCTAAAACTTCAAATTTTGCCAAATGGGCCCAATCTTTTGTACTTGTTTTGAGTTGGAAACGTGGTCCACGATCCCTAGCCTTTGCCACTTGTCATTATCTTGTTTTTATTATTTATTTTGATTTTTATTTTGAATTAAATCAATTTAAATCAAAACAAATCATAGAAAAACCAAAATATTGAAAACTCAAGATTTTTTACATGTTTCAGGTCTTAATGTCCAACTAGCATCAAATCAAATTCGTGTAAAGGCATGAGGTGCAAAAAAAGATTGGATTTGGACTGTTTTTGGAATGGTTTTCAAGTGTATCAAATCAAAATCAAAAGCATTGATGGAAGAAGATTGTGATCATTCTTTCAACCCTAATTCATTCCTCAATACATAAGGAGTGTGTGCAGACCAAAAGAGAGGTTAGAAGGAGGCGTATGAACCAGAAACAAAACTTGAAAAAACAAGAAAAAGTGCAAACACGAATTCCTACTTAGAGGCCAATTCAAGACCCTTGGACCATTCCAATCGCTTCCTGGGATCCCTAGCAAGCAAAAGCAATCAAGAACAAGCGTTCCCAAGCCCTATATCTCGCTGTAAGTCCATCACGACATTGCTTATTTCTTGAATTCGATTTGCATGATTTAGACATTGATAGCATGAATTAATGATATATTCTTGATCACCATCATGTTTGCAAGCTTCCTGTAACATTTGATTGCATTTTCATGGCTTGTATTGGATTTCACCATAGCTAGGGTTTTATGGTACAATTTAGGATTTCTATTTACAGGCAAAATTGGGATATAGTGATAGACAAACGTCCGTAGGTAAAAGTCTGGGACTTTTATCAACAGAACAAGGTTGAAGATGACTGCGTGGCACCCTTCCATTGGATCGTTTGAAAATTCGCGCTAATTATTTTATTATTTCGCTTGTTTATTATACAATATTTGTTGTTTACATTATGTACAAACAAGAACAAATGGCGCAGTGGTAGTGGAGTATGTGAAAAACGCTTCAGGACCTGGGTTCGAATCCTAGGTCCCCTAAATATTTCATATATTTTGTCTTTCAGTGATTTAGTATGCATGCACAGCCAAGGAGCATCATGCGTCCTCACCATCCAATCAGCCAAGCGTCCGGAGGGCCAGATCCAAGGGCCATCAATGAGGGAGTACAATAGGCCATGGTCAATGCATCCTAGCGAATCTGGCAGGTCAACGTGGGGCTTCTCTTTTGGGCCCAGAAATATGATTCTTGCACCC